AGACAGGGACGGCATTATGGTTAGGAGAACAAAGACTCATTAAAAACCATTTCTAATTTCAAAGTAGCCCTTTTGCCATTATGTATTTTCTCAGTCAAAAATGAGTTGTCTAAGGCTACACAACTAATGAGTGACAGAGTCCCTGAAAGCCACAGAGAATTTGCACTTCATTTGGTAGGCAGCACTCAGTTAATAAGTCAATTAACACATGTTTATTAAGTGTCTACCAAATACAAGGTACAAAGAGGTACAAAGATTCTCTGAGCAGCGAGTGCTGGACAGGGCTTTCGGTGCGAACTTTCCATTGAAGGAAGGGATAGCACACATAGGAAGCCGCACCGAACCCGAGTGTATCCTAAACAGATCATGCCTGTGGACTCCAGCTTGAGGAACAACATGACCAGTGGCCCAGAGGCCTAATCTTGTCACCTCTGGGTCCCCTCTCCCAGCCCCACTGCTGGGTCTCCACTCTCGACAGCTTTCCATCTACATGGAGCACACAGCCCGCACTGTGGGCTTCTGAGGGGAGGGGGTCGGCCTGCGCCCATCTTCAGGGTGGACCGAGAAGAGAAAGACTAGGTCAGTGGTGGCCCTGGCCGTGCCTGGGTCAGATTCAGGAATCCAGCTGGGAGGTGGGATGGTCTCGGTAGCGTCGTGAAGTGCTGCGGATTGGGTGAACTCATTAGCAGTGGATGGTGGAGCAGCTCTTTGGAAGGTGAAATGGATAGGACGGGTAATCAAACTGGGTGCATAGGAAGAAGATGGAGAGGTTTAAAAAGAAAAAACTGCACCCCTTCAGGCTGGCTGAATGCCAGCACTGTCAGTAACCTTTGGCCAAGTCATCTGACTGCTTTAACTTCAGCTTACCCTTCTGTCCCATGAGGTGGGTTGGACCAAGTTCCTTTCAGTGTAAAGTTCTAAGTGTCTTGAAATTCAGAGGGGTTATGCTGAAAATCTTGCAAATAGGAAAATGTGTAAAGAGCTAAACATTTTATACAAATACCAATTACCCTCTCCTTTTCCATCCACCTACCCATCCACATCATTCATCAAGTTACCCACACACTCACTTGCCCCTGAAGTTTCATTAGTTCTTTCCCAGGTTCCCCTTCAATCGAAACTCATAAAGGAATTAGAGACACAACTACAATTTTAAATTTATGATCTGTCCACCTCACCCCACATCAGACTGATACTATTGTCAGCAATATCCATGGGGGAATTTAATTTTAGTTTATTTACATTATATTTAATCAAATGCTAAATGCATCGTTTTATTTGACCTCATTCTTTCCTGTCTCTTCCTCTGCTTCTCATTTCAGCTCTCCTACCCAGTGTCCTATTCTTGGGAGAGAACCATGCAATTAACTAACCACAGGGATTCCCAGTGGATAGGAGGTTATAGCGCCATGTAGCTGGTCACAGCCTGGTGAGCAGCCGGCAGTGGCTTCACCCCTCCTGGGTGGGCAGGTGTCCTGATCTGAGTCAGGGCAGGGAGAGTGAGGCCCCTGCCAGTCTGCCTCTACTAACGAGGGCCCCCGTGTCTCTGCAGGATGTTGTGAGGGATGCAGGGAAGTGCCACAGTGGCTGCCTCCTGTCAACACTGGGGAGAGGGTGGGATGGGAGAGGGGCCTGGACTTTCCAAGGGGTGAAATCCAAGGAGGGGGTACTCCTTGAATGGGAACTCCCTCCCTTCTCCCTCTGTCCGTGGTTCACTGGAGAGCATGCATAGCGTGAGCCACCGCTGACTGTCGTGATGCATGGATAGGTCTTTTATCTCTGTACGGAGGAGACCATTTCTGTTTTCTTACCATAGATGACAGCTGCGGGCTGCGACCATGCTGGCTGCTGCAGTTAAGTATGGGTGACTGAACTCAGTGCCTTCCGGCCAGCCCCGTGCGCTCAGTGCCTTCCGGCCAGCCCTGTGCGCTCAGTGCCTTCCGGCCAGCCCCGTGCACTTGCTTTGCTCCTCCATGCATGTGGCAAGGCCTGCTCTTTGGCATCTGTTTCTTAAAGCTGTTTTTTGCTTTCCTTTGCTTTGTTTATGCACTTCGTGGCCCCAATTTTTTTATTTTTCAGATCCCAATCCATTCCTAACTTGTGGGTCTGATCACAGCACAGTTGATTTGGATCACTGTGATTTTTTTTGAGACCTTAGAACCTTGTTCCTGAGAGAAATGAAGACCAGTATGTAATTTCTGGAGTCACGGATTACGGATTATAACAAATTTACCACAATTCTTCCAGAGAAGTTAAATATTACCTGATTTTTACCAAACTTTTTTCAGCCAGAGGTGTCCATTGAATTAGAACCATTGAATTAGACTTTCCAGAAGGTTAGGGCCTGGCATCTCTGTTTTGAAAAGCCCTTGATGACATTGACCTATCTATGGGCGAAGGCCCTTTCCAGTTGTAGAATCTTATTAATGTCATGATATTTATTTATTATTATTTTTAATTTTTTTTTTTTTATCAGAGCAGCATACATATAGCTAAAAAAAAAAAAAATTAAATAGTGCCGAAAACTCTACAGGTGCCTCTCAGTGATACTGCGTGTTTGGTTCTAGACGACTGCAGTAAGCGGGTCACGTGAACGTTTTGCTGTCGGTACATATAAAAGTTACCTTTACACTGTACTGTAGTCTGTGAAGTGTGCCATAGCGTTGTGTCCAAAAGAACATACACACTTTCATTTAAAAACTGCTGAAAAAGGCCGGGCGCGGTGGCTCAAGCCTGTAATCCCAGCACTTTGGGAGGCCGAGACGGGCGGATCACGAGGTCAGGAGA